GTGGAAAACTTTAGGAGAAGATATTGTTTTAAGGGGTGAATCCTGGAAGGGGATAAAAAGAGAGAGACGTAAAATTTATATATAGATGGTATTCCATTTTCTTCAATTTTACCTTAGCTTTTGCTTTGATTACAAAAATCATTGAATCTGTTCGGAGTTTCTCCTTTCGATTTTGGTCAAAGAACTCAAAATCGTTTGACCAGATTGGGTACGGATCCCACAGCCATGTCGTGTCGACATGGATGCAGCACCAAAAGTGAAGAGTCCTAGCAACTTTGCTTAAAATGAAATTTGTATTATTTGATGTTCGTATTTGAAATATCGACCAACTGTAATTTGATGTCTGTTTTGAATTTTACTAGTGGGGTTTTATAGGAATTTTCCCATTTTTGCAGGTCCTTTTCCAGAATGACTCTCCTGCCACGTTACTTGCAAGGGTACTTGGTATCACAGGTCCGATTGACCAAGAGATGCTTGTCAAAGGACGAGACACTTACAAATATTTCACCAAAAATCACATGCTATATGAACGAAATCAGGTAAAGTTTCTTCTCCTTTTCCACTCTTTATTTCAGTTTTTTTTTTTTTTCCTTTTGTTTTTGGGGTGAACCCCTGTTTCCCCAGGTCTCATTTTTAAGAGATCAATTTGTCTAGTGACATATTAAGATCAATGTTTTCATGTATCAACGACTCGATCTATTTGGAGGTTATTTAACCATGGATCCAGTTTTTTTAAAGAAAAATCAGTTTCAAAAAGGTTATTTAACATGGATCCTTCCTTTACCTTGATGTACCCATGTCCAATGGGTATGACATGGTATGGATGTTGCATAATGATACTTAAAAATTGGCTAAAAGTTAGCAACAAAAAAAAAACGCACCATAGACTTGCATCCTTAGAGGATATGTACCTGTTCCCGAGTCCATGTACATAGTTTCGAGGACAGCATATATTATTCTGTGAAAAGGCCTTTGGTTTTGCCAGTTCTGTATCTACTAAATATTTCCTTAAGTTGAGCTTCAACTGAGATCTAGAATCTGCAACCCAGTAAACATCATTGTTGGAGTCCCTTTGGATTCTTTGTTTTATATATGAATTGGTTAATTATTTGAATGCAACTTTGGCCGGAAAAAAATGAAATTGGATATAATACAATGTCAAGATAATCAATTCCTCTTTCTTTCTTCTTTCTCTTTATAGGAAACAAACAGAATGGAATACTTAATACCCAAAAAGACATCCTTGAGGTATCGATTACCAATGGGAGATCAAGGTTTCGTTGATTTTGTGGCTCATCTTTTAGAAGTTAACCCAAAGACGCGGCCTTCTGCCTTGGAGGCTCTAAAACATCCATGGCTATCATATCCATATGAGCCAATATCATCGTGAATTATATGAGATCTCTTGGCACTAAAGGTGTTTTCTATTGCTTCGATTTGGATTCTCCAGTGATGATATATGAAGAAAGTTGTCCAAGCTGGGTTGTATTTCTAGCTAACACAAATAGAGTGTTATGTAACATTAAGATTTTCCGTTTCTTCCTTGTCTTTTTTTGGTCGCAGCAAATGCATTCTGTTTGTACATGATGTCTACTAATTCTTTTTAGGTATTTAGTGATAGCTTGTGAAATAGCCGCTTATCCAGGCTTTTGCTCAGTTGCTGCTACGTATCAGAATGAAGCAAAAGTACAAACATTTCGTGAAGATATAATATGCAAAATGCAACTTGATGTATTATTCTGAGTTGTGTGTTCACGTCCAGTAAATAGTTATTCAAGTTGAGCAGCAGGTGGGGTGCACCCACTGCGTACATACTACATGCAGATAGAGTAATGGTTCAAAACAGAATAGTAAACAGGAAGATACAACTTGTTATTGTAAAGCAATCTGCAAAAGAAAATTTCTGACTGCATTACATGAAGTTTATGACAGTAATGCACCTAGCTGTTGATACAAATTCATCTCTTCCTCGAATCAAATTATGTTCTCTTTCTCCCCAGAAACAGATCCGGTTAATGTATACTGACTATCATGAAGCTGTTAAGAAATAAAAGTGTAAAGAAAACACTAGTCAATTAGAATGCAGAATTAGCTCCCTTGGTTTTCCCTAACAACACGTCCTTGGCTTCGTTGATCTTGGAAGCAAGATAATGGCTGCCACCAGCGTCTGGATGATTTGCTACCATTACTCTCCTGTGAGCCTCCTTGATCTTCTGCAGGACAGCACTTTCCCTAGAAAGGAAAGAAATGGAACATAAGCAACTAATTTAATTGATTGATACATGTAGCTTTGTCGATCACGAGCTCAAAACAAAAGTGTGCCAGGAGCACCAATCTGCTTATAGAAAGAATCAATAGTTTACACTTAGAATGCATGAATTCAAGAAAATCTTCAAGACTGTCTGGTGTCAATACCTAATGATGAAATGGTAATAAAATGATTGACACATCAAGCATTTAAACAATTTAACCGTAAATTCCAGTAGTTAACTTGATTCCTCTAAAGACGAATGAATAGTAAGCATCTGAAAGTTACAAGTTGCAGACTTTCCTAAACAAATCCGGAACAAGTTAGCCATTTAAAGGATTTCAGAACTTGAAAAAGAGCACAAAAATAGAAAAGAAATACATGTTGGCATTACAAAAACAGAACTTAAAACAGGGTAAGATCATCACACCTAACTCCGAGAATCAATGCTGCTTCTCGCCTTGTCATATCCCGATCAAAGCCCCCAGGATAAAACATCCTCACTCGAGGTGCTGCTTTGAATGTTTGCCATGCTCTTATCAAGTATCTAGCTCCCAAAGCAGCAGCACCAATAGTAGTTCCCACAACTAATGGAGTTGACTGAAAAGAGAGAGCACGAAAACGCTTGGTACTATATCTAATAGATCAACCAAGTAGAACTTAAAGAGGAATAGTATGATTAACAAGAATAAGAAACAAAAGTCCAGATCCTTGCATAGCAAGGCAATCTCTTTTAGTGCTAAATTATAGAGCATATTATGTATAGCACCATAGTTCTTGTGGTAGCTAAGAAAACCCTTCCTAATAGACAGACATCCATTAACATAATATATAGCTCAAACAATTCTATATATACACCATCCAAGAATATTTAAGCAACAATAATTGAAGTAGAAAACAAAATATATTTTGAGGTTCAATTATTATGCAATTAAAAGTACTATACTTGAGAAAGAAAGCAATGATAATAATGATTTTGGCTGTCTCAAATGCGAAAAATTGTCCTATTTGTCTTAGCTAGAGTTTGATCGGAGTAGATTTTGAATATTTATTATCAAATATCCGTTTGATCATGAAATAGATTCCAAAAAGTTGGGTTTTTGGGAGTTCCACACACAAACTTCAAACTTTTTCCAAGTAAAATGTATGTCCAAACAAAACTGCAAATTTCAAAAACTCAAAGTTTCAAGTTTGCAACTTCAAAATTATATAGCCAAACATGAGCTTAATTTTAAGTTTAAGTCAAAATCTGGAAAAAGAAATTAGATTGAAATATTCACCAGCCAAGTTCACAAAGCTGATTTCATTGCATACAGAACTTTAACATGAATCCTAATTAAAAAACTATTTTATCACAGCAAAAACGATGAAATCCTAAACAGAAGAACAATATCAAGCAAAAAAAGAAATTCTTAAGGAAAGTGAAAGAAATAGAAGATTAATTACCATGAGAAAACTCGCAAGACTTCAACAATGATGAGATTCAGGATTTTCAATATGCAGTCAGCTGAGAAATTTGACACAAATTCACAATCAATTCGCTGAAAATAGCAAATTTCATCGTCGATGTTGGAACCACGGAGTTTATATAGATTGCCATGAAAAATGGCTTTTTGGCTTGGGCATCAAGAAATTTTAGACCCACCAACATGGCGGTTCGCGTTTTTAGTTCTAGAGGATTCTACTTGATGATGCACCCGGTTCACCCAATTTTAGCCGGTCCAATGTAATTAATTGGAAAAAAAAAAAAACTAAACAGGCCTATGAGGAAAAAGAAAGAGGACAGAAAATACCTAATTGTCCTAACAAAAAAACAATAAATAAATAACTAATTGACTATTTTTTTTTTTAAACGACATTAGGATTGACCATTTGCGAATGTTTTGTTACGGTATTCAGTACAACTTGATATTTTGTAACATTCACAAGCTGGGTTTGCTATGGAGGAAATTATTTCTGAGTTTTACGATTTGAGATTATGGAGGATACGAATTATGGTAGAATGTTATTGTTAATAGAGTATTATCTTGTCTTGCTTATCCTTTTTTACTATTTGTTGTAGTGTTTCTCTTGTAGTTTTATTGTCCTCAGAGTGCATAGATTCTGAATTTTGTAAATTTAGTTACTAGATGAAATTTATCTTGATCGATCACATGAGTAATCAGTCATATTATTTCGGTATATAGCAATTTATCAGTTAAATCATGATTATGGTGAACTAAGATCTTGATCTGAATGCGACTTGTATTCTATCTGAAACTATTTTCTATTGAGCTGAATCTAACAATGCGTTTTTATGCCATATATCACCTCTTGATACGTTCAATTGTCATATTCATAATTTGTCCAATACAAACAATAATAACAACATTCCCATTGTAATACTATAAATAGAATATGAAGAAAGTAGAATGTACGCGTATCTTATCCCTATCTTTGGAGGGATAGAAAATTATTTTCGATAGACCCACACACATAATAAAACAGAATTTGATCAACATGTAATTTTATAGTAAAAATCTTCTGATCTAATAAATCAACAACAATAATAACTAACAATTATTCAATATGATCCACTCACATTCAGGTCAGTATATGTCGTTTCAAAAATAAAATTTAAACATGTTTTTATTTTTTTTAATATTGTTTGTTCCATATCAGAAACAATTACTAGTATTAATTTCAAATTTAAGCTGCATGAATAAATGCCTACTCATTTTTATTTTGATAGCGGTCCCTTGAATAGAGTCTGAAATAGAAGTTAGAACAATAGCTAATAAAAAAATTCATACGCGGAGGAATTGGATTTGATCAAGGTCGCTCTGTCTCATCGGAATCGGAGATCGGAATTCTCCTTCAAGTGTTCGCCTTTGCCGGCGGTCCGATCTCCGACAGTTCAATGATCACCATTCCATACTTGACTGCCTTGTCCACCTATTTCAGCTATGGCTTGCTCTTTGCCTTTGGCCAATTTCGTGATTTCTTCAGAAAAATATTCGATTGGTGGAACGCCAGTAATCTTCAGGTATGTTTGTATTTCTATTTCTATAATGTCCGTCCTGCTCTTAAATGCGCGTCTCTGCGTTTGATTCATGGCATTTCAACTATGGTTAGTTCGTGTTTAAAATTAATGGCAGGGATATGCACCTATCTGCTTAGGACTCGAAGATTTCTATATCCGTCGGTTGTATCTTCGCATTCAGGTAATTATCATACAGCATTTTACAACACTTGTTGCAGAATTGTGATGGTTTATGCTTGAATTAGTATAATTGTGTTAATTCGATAGCTGTCTAATGCTAAATGAGAATCTATAATTTGTTCATATATTTTGCTTCGTTTTATCATAGGATTGTTTTGGAAGGCCAATATGCAGTCCTCCTGATGCTTGGTTTGACGTGGTAGAGCGTGTATCCAATGATAATAACAAGACACTAAAGTTAGTATACGTCACTTGCTTCCATTTGATCTTTTTCTTTAACTTTCTGAAAAATGCTTCCTCCATTTTGTGGTTCTTTGATTGTTCTGTTTAATACTATAAGAGAACTATGTGTATATGAAGTTACTACAGCTTGACTGGTGATGTATGAATATTTCTCTGTTGTACAATGTAAGATATATGGTTAGTAGTTAGTGTTTTGAAACATTGTTTTTAATGCTCAAAATTCTTTTTATGCAGTCGGACCACAAAAGTTTCAAGGTGCCTGAACTTGGGATCATATAATTACCTTGGTTTTGGTGCTTCTGATGAATATTGTACCCCACGTGTTATTGAGTCTTTGAAAAGATTTTCCGCAAGCACATGCAGTACCCGTGTTGATGGAGGTAGGCATGATCTCATTCAATTTTGTACTATGCATCTTTCCTGCATAAGTAAACATTGTTTATGAAAATTGTCTTGTCAGGCACCACAACGCTACATAGTGAATTGGAAGTGTGTGTGGCTAATTTTGTTGGAAAACCAGCTGCTATTGTTTTTGGTATGGGTTATGTAACAAATTCAGCTATTCTTCCTGTCTTGATTGGAAAGGTATAGAGTCATAAAAAGTTATGTTCTTGTTTTATAATAGGTATTTTATTTGCTTTTTGATTACAGTCATTTGCAGGGAGGTTTGATCATCAGTGATTCTCTAAACCACAACTCTATTGTAAATGGTGCTAGAGGTTCTGGATCCAACATTCGTGTTTTTCAACATAACAGTAAGTATTCATGAGATTTCTTTTTCGTTTGAACAATAATGTTCAATGAGGTGTCCTATTTCATGTCCGTACTTTAAATTTCCATAATTTCTTTAGCACCATCACACTTGGAGAAAGTCTTGAGAGAACATATTGCTGAGGGACAACCCAGAACACACAGACCATGGAAGAAGATAATCGTTGTGGTCGAGGGCATATACAGTATGGAAGGGGAGCTTTGCCAACTCCCAGAGATTGTTGTGATATGCAAGAAGTACAAGGTAATATTGTGTTTGACGTCTCTTCCTGGAACTTCTTCGTTTAATTGACATGTCAATAATCTTTTAACTTTCTGCCAAGTTCTTTCTTATAATGATAGCATCTAGTTTATATGTATCTGCATTCTGAGGTTCTGGTTTGCTGATTTGCATGTGTCTAAATCTACTATCTAATTTTTGCAGGCATATGTGTATCTGGATGAGGCTCATAGCATTGGAGCAGTTGGAAGATCTGGAAGGGGAGTCTGTGAGCTTTTAGGAGTTGACACTGCTGATGTGGAGATTATGATGGGAACTTTTACAAAGTCATTTGGATCATGTGGGGGTTATATTGCAGGATCAAAGGTATGATTTTCACAAAAAATGCTACTGACTAGCTTTTTCATTGGTTGTGTTAAGCTTTCCAACCATTAGTTAGTTGAAGAACCGTTCCTGCATAACTTGGGATTTGCATCAAACCTCATATTTCTCAAGGATTACCTGATTGTATCTGCTTATTGCTGCCTCATTCTAACATTTCATTGGGTTTGAAATGAATGCTACTCCAACCATAGTGACAACAAAATTGTCAATTGGTAGCCTTAGTTGGTTGCCTGATTGATTAACATTGTAACTGCCATCACATTATGTATTGCCATTTTCTAGATACTCCTTTTTACATTTTCTTTTCTTAAGCTAATATGCTCAATCTTAGCATGAAAATCACATTATCACATAATCAGGTCAAACCTTGTCCAAAGAACATAGCAACCCAGTAAACCAGAGTATATTGGCACTTGAATGAAATCCCTATTTCCAGCTGATAATAAAACCAGTCTTCTAGGAAATTATATGTACTGCAGGCCTGCGGGCATTTCCTGTCTGATCTTCCAGTACAACCGATTTGATAGACTTTATCTAGATGATTTGTTTCATGGTTTCTGCCAGTGAACCACCTGAATGATTGATTCTTTAACTTTTTCTTTTCCACTTCAGTAGGATGTGTGTTCACAGAGCTTTTTCTTGTGGTAAATTTATGATGTCATCTATAAGAGGTGGCTTTGACATTTGATACAACAATATAGGAACTTATCGAATATCTGAAGTACACTTGCCCAGCTCATCTCTATGCCACATCAATATCACCTCCAGCTGCCCAACAAATAATTTCTTCTATCAAGGTTATACTCGGTGTAGATGGTTCTAGTAGAGGTCAGAAATTTCGTCCTGTAAAATGAAACTCTACTTTTTATTATATTCTTAATTCAACTCAACACTGGTATAGTGATAGTCTACTGATCATTAGAGCAGCTTTGGTTCTTATAGGGGCTCAGAAGCTAGCACAGATACGTGAAAATAGCAACTTTTTCCGCTCTGAATTACAGAAGATGGGCTTTGAGGTTCTGGGGGACAATGATTCTCCTGTCATGCCCATTATGCTCTACAATCCAGCAAAAATACCTGCTTTTTCACGGGAGTGTCTCAAACGAAAAGTACTGTTTTCTACTATGTTTCAGCTTCATCTAAACTAGAATTAGATCATTCTCCAATAAATGCTTACTCCTAATTTTTCCTCTTGTAATAATATTTTTATTTTCATATTCTACTACTATAGGTGGCAGTGGTGACAGTTGCTTTTCCAGCTACTCCTTTACTTTTGGCCAGAGCACGAATTTGCATATCTGCTGCTCACTCAAGGGATGATCTTATTAAAGCGCTCGAGGTTAGCTTGTACTTGCATTTGTTTTATCATTTCAGATGATGATCATGTTAAGTTATGCCCTACTGTCATCATACAAGCAACAATCCGGCACCAGAGATTCTGCTTATTGAGGGATTAACCTATTGTCATGCCAATACAAAACAAAAAAGAAGATTTAAACAGATTAGTGTGTATTTAGTGGCATATTAAAATCTTGAATGAAGATGATCTCCTGTGTTTCAATTAGTATTTCAGCTTATGTAAATCACACCTACCTGAAAAGAAAGGCAGTGTGGCCATTACTAGTGCAAGTGAATAGCTAGTAGCTTAGCAACTCTTGCTTTTGTCAGGTTATCAGCGAAGTTGGTGATCTAGTGGGCATAAAATACTTTCCTGCCGAGCCCAACAAAGAGCAGCTAGAAGCAAACAGAGTCAAGCTGGAATGAGTTAAGTTTCTGTTTTCCCCAGTTTCGCCAAAGGAGGTTCAGAATTGATTCAATCAAGCATGATACGTCTTTAGGATGAGAAGTTTTGACACTTTTTAACTTTTGTATAGAAGAGCCTTCGCGTACTACATGGGATAGCCTTATCTTTCTCTAATGCTTCACGAAAGAGATGCTGCAAAGTGTCAAGTCGTGGATAATTTGTTCTCTCAAAACTAAATAGAGAAATGACAGGATAAAGCAAATCTTCAATATTGACTCACAAATTGCTGAAGAAAATTTCATGTAAGGCGGAGAGGAAGGAAACTACACAGTAGTGAAAAGACAATAACAACACTGTAACAAGAAGAACAAGGAGCAAAAACATGAACGTTGATCCGAATGATCTTTGACTCATATAATTCAGCTTGCTATTGCCTATTATTTTTGTCTTTTCAGTTATTTGCTAGCATTAGTTTCTGGAAACTTGTTAGTCAAACTGTTAAAGAATGGACTTTCAGCTAATATGAAGGTTTGCCATGCTTGTGTACACAGTTTTAGAAGGTCTTGGTTCTTTGCTGTTAATAATTTGGAATTTTCTTATATGCCAGAATTTCATAGATGGACCAGTTGCTAATTTTATGGCATTTGCTCACTGGGTTAAAGGGGTACATATTTTAAGGAGTGGCCTAAAAGAAGGTTATGGCAAAATCATCCCCTGGAAAGTAAAATTTGCTGCTATGCAATGATTTATCAAAGGATTCCTTAGGCATTTCATGCTGAGACTGAAAGGTTGTATATATCTGCCCTTTCTCAACGCATTACTTTAGACAAAGACTTCATTGTTTCCTCTTTTCGGATGATAAATCTTTCTCGGGATATGGAGTGTGAATCAAACCAATTTTTGAATTGAAATTGAGATACTGATGCAAGTTCTTCCCTTCTGAATCAGATAGATTCATATCTGAAAGTGAGATTCATATCTGAAAGTGGTTGATAATAAGTTCTTTCAAAATTAACTATTTGCCCATTTGTGTTAGAGGTGTTCTAGGGATCGGATCGACTTGGAAAATGAAAAGATTTGTACAAGTTATATTTTCTGTTTCCATTTTGTGGAAAATTGTTAGGTATGAATATGTTAGATACGTGTGATTCGATTGGTGAAACAGTATCTCTCCCCAAAAACTTTTTTTTTTTTTACCACGCACAAAGAAAATATTTTGTTGCGCTTTGCTTCTCGTTCAAAGTGTGAACAACTTCAAGAACTAGGAGAAAGGACGGGCAGAAACTATACGCAAAATTACTCTTTTGTTACATTGGTCGAGATAGATCTAAGATTTGAAGTTTATAGATTCGATACAATAATAATTGGACCCGCAATCAAATATTGCTAAATATCTTTATACATATATAAGGTATATATGAACAAAAATTAGTGGATTCTCGGTGAATTCACAACTAATATTCTAGATCCGCCATCGGTTTGAATTGTTTATTTTACACAATAATGCATCACTTTGTGTGTACTATTAGTTGAGTTGTATGTAAGCTGGCTCGAACACCACGGTTATCAAGCAAACTTGTCATAGTAAATGTTGTGTTTATGAATCATAGTATTAATTTGATTTGGTGAAAATTTTAAAGATAGAAAAGCACCAGCTAGCAACGCTTCTTCTCAGAGTGGATGATTAAATGAGTATGGTGGAAATTCGATTAAACATTGTTATGGAGTTATTTCATACACCTTAATAAAAGCAATACAAACTACCTCTTCGTTGGTTGGACAGAAATGTTACACATTGACATAGTTGTTTCTTTAATATATCAAAAATAATAATTAAGCTATTGAAGTTCAAATTCGAAACGAAAACTAATAACGTGTGGAAATCTTTGAGACACCTAATATATTAATGTTTCGGTTGAATTTGGACGGTTCAATGTGGGCTGAGATAAATAAGATCTATGTAATATATAACTCGATCTGCTAACTCTTACCAATTGTTAATTTCTTTATTTGTTTTCTTATAAGTTGCTTACTTGCTTGAATACACGCTAGTTTGCAATATTACGAATCTTATCAGATTTTGGTGCCTCCAAATACATGTATCTCAAGATAAATGAAGTCAAAATTAAGTGTAATTTGTTCTAGATGCATCGTATCCAAGTGGATTCATATGTATTTGGATACATAGACAACTCTCGCTTGCCCCCTTTTCATCTCGCTTGCCACTCTCCTGTGTATCTAGGATCAGATAATGTGAATCACACGAGATACATGTATCTAGAGTGATTCGCATGTATCTGGGATACATAGACAAATGTCGTTCGTCTCCCTTTTGTTCTCACTCACTTCTCCCTATTTCAGTATATCTGGCAGCAAAAAAATATGTATCTTGGCGTATCTGACTTGAAATTCGGTATGAAATTATTAATTATGAGATAAAATGTAATTATTTTACAATATAGGAAGTATTAGTAAATATAGTAGAAATATTTGTGTAATTAGATAGTTTTTCATGAGAAAAAAAGAATTATTTCTAATGTTTTCACAAAGTTTCTCATAGTCAATTGAAGCTACTTACATATTTAATCCAAACAATCCAACTTTTAGATGATTGAATAACTAGACAGATCAAAATGAATTGAATTAATAAATTAATCCAATCTTAAGCCTCAGTAATATTAATTTCACTCAATATCAATGTAACAAAAATATTACTCCTATTAGGAATATTCTCTTTTTCTGTTTTTAGGTATAGATGGAGACTTGAAGAGGCAAATTGAAGTAGACAAATAAAGAGATATAAATGGGAAGCCGTAGTAATAATAAATACTCTTACTTATATATTGTCGATCTATATGATGTTAGAGAGGAATTAAGTTGTTGCAGCTCCTATATTTAAATGTTAGGTTTTAGGAGGCAATAGAGCTGGAGTCTAGTGTTTGGTGAACTTCTTTGCCAACATATGTATTTATTACTCCCTTCATTTCATCATAATAAGTTTGAATCTAAAGTGTGGTGGGAGCAGGTTTTCGAGAATTCAGTAATAAAAATAATTCCTTAGTTATTGGCAATAGAAATGAAACTTGTTTTGATGTCCTCCTTGGTGAGAGTTCAATTTCTATTCGGCACATATAATAAAGTCTATTTTGAAAAAGATTGAAATTATCATCGGAACTCGAGAGTCATAAACTTCAAATTTTGAATAATTAGTTTTTATTTGTGTTTCACATAATCAAGAAGGTTTTATTTAGTTTCTTATGAATTCATTAACTCTATTTAAATGAGTGGATTTTTATGTAATGTATATTAAGTAGGTATACTATATCTCTGCACCTCAAATTATTTGTCATATTTCTCCGTTAGTACTAAGGATAAAATGAAAAATAATACTCTATATTAATTAATTTTATCTTAAACTTCTAAAATAAAAAATAATTTGAAATAACTAATTTTAGAAATTACGATAAATAATTTGAGACGTGACTAAGCTAGAAACACCACTAGGCACTAATATGAAACATAGAAATCTCTTGTGTTTTCTCTAATGTTTGGCGAGAAATTAATACTCCTTTGTTTTCATCTTAAAGGCTACGCTGAAGTTTGAACAATCACTTTGTAGACCATTAAACTTGGTTGTTGTATAGTAATTATTTTATAATGTATTCATGTATTGCATTGATTATATTGTATTGTATCATATTTTGATAAATATGAATATCATTTTTTATCGTTACATAATATTATATATCAACCATTTTAAGGATAAATCTATATGAAAGTAGAGTAAGAGATAAAACTACTGTAAAAAGGTAAAGTAGTATATGAACTATGAACATTAAATTTTACAAATAAAGTTAAATAATAAGAAGAAATTAAAAAAAGTTAATAATGCGATCACATCAAATCAATTGTTTCATGAAATGAAACTCTTCGTCTTTAAATTTTAATGTAGTAACGATCAAAATAAATAGGACAAATTACTTAACTATACTCATTTACTTACCTCAATATCCATTTATCCCTACTTATTTCAAAATTTTCAAAAATCCTTTATTTTACCTATGTATCCCGCATGTATCCCGTGCACAACGCTATGTATCCCGCATGTATCCCGTGCACAACGCTATGTATCCCGCATGTATCCCGTGCACAACGCTATGTATCCCGCATGTATCCCGTGCACAACGCTATGTATCCCGCATGTATCCCGTGCACAACGCTATGTATCCCGCATGTATCCCGTGCACAACGCTATGTATCCCGCATGTATCCCGTGCACAACGCTATGTATCCCGCATGTATCCCGTGCACAACGCTATGTATCCCGCATGTATCCCGTGCACAACGCTATGTATCCCGCATGTATCCCGTGCACAACGCTATGTATCCCGCATGTATCCCGTGCACAACGCTATGTATCCCGCATGTATCCCGTGCACAACGCTATGTATCCCGCATGTATCCCGTGCACAACGCTATGTATCCCGCATGTATCCCGTGCACAACGCTATGTATCCCGCATGTATCCCGTGCACAACGCTATGTATCCCGCATGTATCCCGTGCACAACGCTATGTATCCCGCATGTATCCCGTGCACAATGCTATGTATCCCGCAAACATCATTTTTAAGGGATTTTTGGCAAATAGAAAACTAGAAGGGATAGGATGTTATTTAGTACTTATAATATGTGGTTCCTATAATTTATACAAATAAATATCATATTTAGACCAACAATATAATACAATAACAACTAATTCATTTTCTTGAAAAAAGTGTATTTTGAAGTTAGTGAGTAATAATATCAGGCTATTAGAAAATTGGATAACAGTATTAAAGATTTGTGATACGGTCTAAGCATTAGTTGGAGTGGTAATATTAAGTTAAGGAATTGAGATTGGCGTGAGTAAAATGGCTTCTACCACATAAGTTGGGTTTCATTAATTCTTAACGAGATCAGGTCTCAAGTCCAAGCACTTGAGAATGAAAAAAAGTCTAGTTACGTTGGAAGAGTCCTCCAAAAGAGTCTTGGATGAGCAATTTCAAATTTAATCGAGCTTCAATATAAATATTGAACATCGAGTGAAAAAAATCAAAGAAACTTGTCATATGATGTAAAGTCATATATACTAATGATGAGATGTTATCCAAAATAACATCAATTGTCTTTTAAGGTACATTTTTTTGAAGAAATTTAAGGTACATAAAAATGTTTTTTCACTTTTCAGACCAGAATTTACTATTATTTTCTTTTCTTTGTAAAAAGAAACTTGAGATAAATTTTTTATCTTTTCATAATTTGTACACAACTACTATTACAGTCAGATTTTATGTAGCATATGATAAAAGTTTTTGTTTAACATTTATATATATCAACAATTTTGTAAACAACTATTATTACTAGCTAGGTTTATATCATTTCTCAGTATTTAGATATAAATGTTACTCCTACTTTTATTTAAAACATAAATTAAGTAATATTGAAAGACCTCTTAATTTTAAAGTTCAAACCGTGAAAACTTAAAACATTTCAAAATAAATATTTTGA